GACTTAGACAATATTAAATACCACAACCAGGAAATCCAAGCTGGGCTTTAGAATCTGGAGAGTAGTCTAAATTGTCTGGGTGGTAAGTGTTTTGCTTTTTAAATTAAGCCATAAATGAGTCCTCACTATTAAAACATCAAAATGTACAGAAGCCTAAGGGCTGAAATAGCTGCTTTGTACAAAGTATGAAGAAGAGGCCCAAGAGGCAGGCATGGCCTATGTGGGCATCTGGGAGGCACAGGTGTGGGGCGGGTCAATGCCTGACCATGAGAGCTGGGCCCACCAGCATCACTCCTTGGAAGAAAGCAACCACTTTGATTCTGTTTTTCTGGGGGTTTCAGAGAAACACAGGATGCGTTCATTTGCATCCCACCCATGGGGCTCTTCATTGTCCACGAAGGGCATTCACATGTATTGTCTTGGAGTCTCTCGCCTCTAAAAGGTGGGCCTGTGAAAACAGGGTGAGGATGAGCATGCCAGGCTCAGGGGGGCTTAGATATTAGCTTAGGCACCAACTCATCCAGAAATGTTTCCTGAGTACCCACCATTCACCAGGTATGGTGCCAGGGATGAGGAAGGAGGCAGTGCCATGCTCTCTGAGAAATAAGTAAATGGGCAATCCAGCATGGGGTGACAGGGTCGGGACTGGTCAAGGTCCTGTGGGATCTCAGTGAGGGTGGAGGGAAGAGCTCAGAGGAAGTTACTTGGGCTGAGCCTCCAAAGCCTGATAGGTGAGCAGGAGTTGTCTGGGTGAAGGCAGAGGGCAGAGAGGGCTCCAGACTGAGTGGCAGACCGGGCCTCTGGTATAATTAGGTCTTTGTGAGAATTAGACCAGGGGTTTAGATAACACTTATGCGGTCCCACAGACCTCCAAGCCCAACTCCGAGTCCCACACATTTCCTCCCTGCCTCTCTATCTGCTCTGGGCCCTGAGGCTTTTTCTCAGTCTCTGTCTGGCGGGTGGAGAGGGGCTCACTGGCTATACTGGGGCCAGGATCTGGCAACTGGCCAAGGGCCAAGAGAGTATGGGTCTCCAGTGAGCTGCAAATCCAGATTTTTTACTTCCTGCCCGGCCACACTGCCATTGTTTACTACCTCCAACTCACACCCAGTAATAAATAGTGGGTGCAGGGGGAATGGATGGGAGACCATTTAAAACTTGTGTTTTGCAAAACCCACCCAAAACATTCCCTGTCACCTCTGAAGAAAGTCATGCCTCCTCCACTCTATTAGTCAGTGGCTCTTATGATGCTTCTTGATTTACAGAGGTTCCTGGTCCCCCCTCTGCCCATGCTAGTCAGTAGCTTGGCTGACTGGGGAGGATGGCCTCTAGCTTCTCTGCAGTCATTATCTGGCTTCTTGGCTTGTCCTCAGGGACAGAGACTTGCCCTGTGAACCTTCAATTCATGAGCTAGTTTTATTCTCAGAGCACTGCTGGGACTTCCAGTACTGGCCCTATATGCTCGCACCAGGTGTGCCTGCACTGCCCCAGCTGCTGGCCCTGAGATGGAGGCGATACCTGCTGGCAGGTTGCATGGGGGACGTGGTGCAGAGACAAAGGGGAAGGGCTTCTCTGGGAGGTAGAAGAGTGCATGACAGGGCAGAGTTCACGTTTCCTTCGCCTACGCACCTTTGGGGCCGGTACCATATCTGGGGGGACAGGGTAGAAGAAAATGCCTGTGTCAGTGGGCCTGTGACTCTCCAGGGAAGGGGCTGGGGTGCTCATGGGCCTATTTTCCAGAGCTGTTGTGAGGTTTGGTCAGGGCCTTCCTTCTCCTTTGTCCCGGAGATACTGCCTACTGCTCCCCTCCACTATATCCTGGCCTGACCTGCATCCTGTCTGACCCCAGTGACTTGGGGCCCCAACAGGGCACCTGAAGGCCTCCCTGTAACTCATGGATGCCTAGGTGCGCTCCCACCCATGTGATGTTCATTTCAGGAAGGCAAGCTGGGGATGGGTGAGTACCTGGGGGCAGGCCGAGAGGATGGAAACTCCTTCTAGCCCCTAGTAACAGAACCATAGCCACTTCAGGTTGCGCTCCTCAAGAACAGGAACTTCAGTGACAAGGGGCACAGAGGAGAACCCTAGTAGAGAGAAAAGAGTGAACAGTAGTTCATTCGTCTGCTGGAAAGGACCTGGCCTCCACTTCAAAAGCATCTTACGCTCAAGTGCTCTTTCTTGCATGCCGATGCAGGTGCACACACTTGTGGTGAAGGGGAGGCTGTGAGGATGCTCTCTTGCAATTAAGTGAAACGCAGGGAGAAGTGTGGCCCTCCCAGCTCCTGCAGGCGAAAGGGAGCCTGGGATTGGCCCTGAACTCGAATCCCAGCCTCATTGTACCCTTAAGGTCGTTATTTAAACTCCTTGTGGAATCAGTTCTCCCAGGAATGAAGCAGGCATACTTACAGGATAAGACCCCTCTGATGGGGTGTTCTGAGGTTAAATGAGTTAACGCTTGGGAAGTTCCCTGCAGAGGGTCTGCCTCATGGTAAGCACTCAGTGGGAGGTGATGGAACCTGTGAGAGGCATCCAGCCCAGCAAGGTCTCTACCTCACACTCTGAGCAGAAAGTTCTGGAGGAGGTAGCAGGCCTCAGGCAGAGCCAGGCAGGGAGGGAAGTGAGAGTTCACAGGCAATGAGCTGAAGGTACGTGTGTGGAGGGGTTAGAGGAGGCATCTAAAAGTTTGCCTTCTTTCTCTTGGGAAGGGCTTGAACGGCCAGGGAGGGAGGGAAGCCACCATTTCTGGAAGGGTAGACAGATGGCACTATGAGAAAGCAGTCTCAGCTGGACTGAGTCTAGGAATTCTACAGGAAGCCCAGAGGTGGCACAGAATGTGTCTTGGTGTTCTCTGCTGAGTTACCATTCATCATCAGAATCCATCATGGATCGGCGTTCATGTGTGCCTCCTCTGACTGTGGCTGCTGTTGCTGTCCTTGTCCTCAGCAGTTCCATCTCAGCTTCCCTCAGCCTTTTCTTGTCCCTCCACAAGAGTTCTTATAACAATGGGGGACAGGCTGAACCCTCCTTGAGGAAGTCTTAGGTTCTCAGAGCCTTCACAGGGCTATTTGCAAGTAGCCAGCGAAGATTCATCCTGCTGATGTTGATGCCTCTCCTGACCTAACTCTGTTGCCTTCTTGTCCTAGTAAATCTCTGGCCAAAGACGTGTGCCTCCACTAGACTAATCTCCATGAAAGCAGGGAATTTATCTGTTTCTTTTATGATGGCATCTCCAGTCCTCAGCAAAGTACAGGCATGCAGTGAGCCCTCAGCAAATTAACTGGTTGAACAAATGAATGAGTGAATGAGTGCATGTATGAATGAATGATGTATTGGAGGCTGAATCAGGGAGCACTCATCTTGTGAAGAACACTTCCTGAGGCCTTTCAGCTGGGCCAAGCTCTCTCAGTGTCTCTGGACATAGGCTGCCTCCCAACTCTGCCCAGAGGGGATTAGAAGCCAGCACGCTGAGTTACCTTGTGGTTTCCAGAGGGCACACTATCCATAGGGAGATAGGCTCTGGAGCCTTCTTTCAGAGGTACCTGCCAAGGGTATGGCCCATCAGTCATCCTCCCCAAAGTTGCTTGCACTGCATCTTTCCCCCTCTCCCCTCCTCCTTCTGCCTAAGAGAAACTTCTTGTTCTGTGCATTTGATATATTTTGATCACCTGGAAATACCATGGAGTCATTTGTTAAAGCTGCCTTCCTGTAGTGAGACTTGTTTATTTCCAACCCCATGGTGTGCTGGGCCACCTCTCTTTCTTGTTTGGGAGGTTGTGTTGGTGAATTTGGGAGTGAGGACAGCAGAATGAGAATGAGACTAAGGCTAGATGGCTGGGATAGGTGAGGTCAAGAATCTGAGTTGCCCAAGGCCTGCCCAGCAAAACTGAGGATTATTGAATTATTATTGAGCCCTACCAGACTTCAGGGCTGCACAGATCCCTGAGTTAGACATGGTGCCTGCCTTCTCCATGGTAACGAGGCTAAATATGGACGCGTTTCCATGGAGAGCCATATCGCAGCTGCAGCCCTGCTTCCTCCAGGAAGCTCACGCACTGGACTCCGTTAGCCCCTCGGGAGGTAGCCAAAGGTCTGCAGGAGGTACCGAGGCTATCAGGAAAGCCTGTCTCACCTTGGAGGATTTCTGTTTCCAACAAGTGTTCCATTTCCCCAACCCTAGACTCGTCAGAGTCTCCTTGGCCTCTTGGCAGCTAGATGTTAGGGGAGGTCACAGGTTGGACAGGTGAGATGATTGGGAAAGTGACGCTGAACCCAGTGGCCATTGATGCAAGCCATCCCATCTTCACATTGCTCCAGGGGGTGGGTTTTCTTGTTATTGGGAGGAAAGGGGATGCCATTTGTCGCAGGAAGATAGTGAGACAGCTGTAATGACACTTTTGCAAATGCTCTGTTCTTCAGTCAAACCTCCTTGGGGAAAAAATATTGCACTCAGTTTTTAAAATGCTTTCCAAAGATTCCTGTAACCTAACCATTATTCCACAATTATTGCTACAGAGTTTTATAAATCATTCCTTCCATATTCATAGATGATTCGAAATGCTACAAGGCTTTCTATTCTTCCTTAAAGGAAAGTCTTTACTGCTTATTTGAATTCCAACAAGTTCAATCTTTGCATGTCTTAACTGTCTAACATAGCAACATGGAGCAAAACTTTGTTTTTGTTGAAGGTTGAACGTGTAAGCTGAGTATTAGGCTTGAAAATACCCTGTTTAACCTCACTTGGCTATTTAGTGATGCTGTCATCTGTGTTTACGGCTTAATCTTCTGTTAGATTGGGGCTCTCTACGCACAGCTGATCGTATGAGTATATTCATATATACTGCATTAGAAACGATCTGTAACGTGTCTATACACAGAGGGAGAAGGGTTGTGCTCCCTGCTTAACGAAGATACAGAAAGTTTTCAGAGATATGGGCAGAGCTCTTAAAGCACTTACACATAGTCCCTTGTGGAATATTCACATCATGTGTTCTGTGTTGTAGGTCAAGTGGTATCAGAGCCGAATGATGGACGACCTGCAGTCCCAGAACCTCTCTATGGACATGACCGACTCTCCTCCTGCTTTGGCCAATAACAGACTGGAGAATGGCATGGCCCAGCTGATCACCACCGAGGCCTGGAACATCAACTCCACGGACCTGGTAAAGAAGGCCCTGGTGACTGTGCCGGCCCCTTCCATTCTGAACCCCCCTGCCGAGTCCCAGAGCGGCATGGCTCTGAAGGTGGCAGCCACTGTGCTGCAGCCCCTGTGCCTCGGGGAGAGCCCAGTGGTGATGCCCATTCACATGCAGGTGGAGGGGAGCTCTGCACCCGAGCTCAACCCTAATGGCAATGCCACCTACGTCATGACCGCACAGGGCCCTGTGCAGCTGCCCGTGGTACTGGAGCAGCACGTCTTTCAGCACCTCAACTCCCCTCTGGTCCTGCCACAGGAGGCTCCGTGCTCCTCCAGTGCCATCCACCACAACCTCTTCCAGGGAGGAGGCTCCGTGCTCCTCCAGTGCCATCCACAACAACCTCTTCCAGGAAGCAGAGGCCCCTGAGGCCCAACCCCAGCTCCTGGACCTGAGGATCCCCAGTCAGCCACAGGAGCCCACATTGCCATTTGAAGCTGTGCTCCAGAATCTGTTTCCCTCCCAGGGTGCTCTTGGCCCCCCACCCTGTCAGCCTCCTCCTGGCTATGCCCCTGTGCCCCCTCAGCCCTTTAACTCTCCCTTGTCCCCATTGGTTCCACCAGCCACCCTCTTAGTACCCTACCCTGTGATCGTCCCGTTGCCTGTGCCAGTCCCCATTCCCATCCCCATCCCAGTGCCTCAGAGCTCCGAATCCAAGTTCAGCCCCAGTTTCCCCAAGCCACCACCTTCCTTCAGCCTGCACTCCTTTAAAGGCACCCAGACCCCTCTGGAAAAGGATGAACTGAAACCCTTTGACCTCCTCCAGCCGAAGGACTACTTCCAGCTCAGCCGCCACACAGTCATCAAGATGGGGAGTGAGAATGAAGCCCTGGATCTCTCCATGAAGTCAGTGCCCTGGATCAAAGCTGGTGAAGTCAGCCCCCCAATTTTCCAGGAAGATGCAGCCTTGGACCTGTCACTGGCAGCCCACCGGAAATCGGAGCTTCCCCCAGAGACACTGTTTGACAGCAGTGGGTCAGCAGACAGCCCAGGTCATGCCGTGATGGAGAAACTTTCTGGTGGCATGGAAATGCCCTTTGCCCCTGCCACACCCCAGGAGGCCTCATCCATGATGGATAGCCACACCAGCAGCAGTAATGCCTCTGAGATGCTCAGCCAGCCCAGCCACCCCGGCAGTGAGGTCAAGGCTGAAAAGAACATTGAGATTGTGAGCGAGTCCCAGGCAGCCAAGGTCATCGTCTCCGTTGAAGACGCTGTGCCTACCATCTTCTGTGGCAAGATCAAAGGCCTCTCGGGAGTATCCACCAAAAACTTCTCCTTCAAAAGAGAAGACTCAGTGCTTCAGGGCTACGACATCAACAGCCAAGGAGAAGAATCCATGGGAAACCCAGAGCCCCTTAGGAAACCCGTCAAAAACCGGAGCATAAAGTTAAAGAAAGTGAACTCCCAAGAAATACACATGCTCCCCATCAAAAAACAACGGCTGGCCACCTTTTTTCCAAGGAAGTAAATCATGGCTTTTTAAAATTTTTATGATTATAATATGGGAAAAGGTGCATTGGTTTTATAAAAAGGCATTTAAAACAAATTATCTTTGTTAATTATTTGGGGAGTAGTTGGGAAGTGGAAAGAGGAATTGGCTCTAGAGCCCTGTAAGCTAGTATCATTTTCTTTTTTAATTTTTGACTTTTCACAAATGAATAAATAAGAGCAACCTATTTTTCAAGCAGATTGCACATTTTTTGCAGCTTTAATGGAATATTGGGTGAATCAGAGGGGTAAAAAAGCTATTTTCATTGCCACAAAGTGCTTTGATGATGTAATACCTAATAAAGGGTAGGATGAATATTTCACAATAAATGTTTGTTTGCACTAATTGGTTGCAGTATTCTGTCATTTATAAGATTTTCATTCCTTAACTGCCATGATTCAGCCAAAACACATGTTCGTGAAGAGCTACGAGTTATCTGTATTTACAGACTAAACTCTCCAGGCATATTGAGAAATATTGCCTTATGCCCCACCCATGAAAGAGGATTAGGAGTATGTATGACCTTGAGCAAGTCACTTCCCTTTCTAGGCTTCAGTTTTGTTTTTAAATGTGGCTAAGAGAGGAGGCAGTACCTGAGGCTTCAAGTACCTGAGGCTTCCAGTTCACATACTTCCTGGGTGTGTAGAATTCTGTCCCTGGTCCTTCCATAGACTAAAATAGACACATGTCTAGAAAAGAAACAGTAACCTGCTTCTTCTCTCACCCCAGAGCTGAGCTGGAAAGTGCCTTCTTTTCAAGGGCAATAAGAGCATTGTTCTTGATGATTGAAAATCTTGCAAAAGTATTCCTGCAGGCTACTCAGACAGAGAGGAAAATGAGTTGCCAGTGGATTAGGAGATGCCTCATGAAATTTCCCAGCCTTAGGTAAGGATCTTTGGGGGTGAGGCTGGGGAGGGAAGAGAAGGTCATTCCTTGTCATGTTAGCCCAGTGGTTCTCAAATGGGTAGGACTATGTGCCCCAGGGGACGCCTGACAATGCCTGCAGACACTATGGGTTGTCAAAAACTTGGAGAGAGGGGATGCTACTGGCATCTACTGGGTGCTGTCCATGGATGCTGTCAAATACCCTACAATGCACATGACCTTGTACGGAGGCTGAGAAGCCCCAGGGTAAGCCAGTTCTTGATGGACAGAAGTGTCACACCTGGAAGGAGACAACAGCGTGCTGCTCTTCCCTGACAGCATAAAGCCACCCACACAAATGAGAAACTGTGAGTGTACGTTTAAAATAAACCTGCCACGTGGCACATCACACTTGTGTCTGAAACTGTGCTGGCGAGAGACTGATTATTACATGCCTGCTTTTAAACTTAAAGCTCTTTCTTTCACTTCTTGCAATTAGTATGTATCCAGCTGTTACTGTGAACATGAGCAGGAGGAAAAGCAGTTGCGAGGCTGTTCTTTTATTACCAAGCCCTTTGTGTATAGAGTTATAGTTTTAGCTGGTTCTGTATCAATACACGCAGAGTGGTTTTTCTTTCTCTTGCTCTTTTCCTGGGTTGTTAAAATTTCTTTTTCATAGTGTAACCCAATACCTGTTTCTTATCAGGCTAGTCTCAGGCCACAGCATCCACCCAGACTCCAGCCTTTCAGCTTCTCCATGGCACAGCCTTTCCATTTTTTACCCAATATGGGCTTCCGGCCATGTCTCCTGAGCATGGCACGTGCATTCTAGTTTCCAATAAAACACAAATGCACCTAGGGGCTGGCGTTTCCCATTTGCCTGATGGCTCCTCTTCCCATGCTCACAGCTGCTTCTGCAGCCCTGGACAGGCTTCCTGCACCAGCCTGTCGGCCCATGAGGCTGCTAGCCTGCTTCGGCAGAACAAAACTCACAGCCTGCCCTTTAAAAGCAAGTGCTAGAAGCTGAATGGCATACAGGTAGTGAGGAAGGCAACTGTAGCCTGCAATTCACTTACAAACCTTAAGTCGCAATTTCTCTTTGTTGTATCTGGGATGCCCTTTCCTCTTCAGATGGTGGCTCTAGTTGGGTGAGAAAGGCTGGCTTCCCAGCCAACCCCCAGTCCCAGGATGAATTCCTGGAGCAGGCCCCTCACCCAGCCAGCCATGCCCACTTAAATTCTTTGCCATTCATCTGGGGCCTTTGAGGGAGAGGCTAGTTTTTGGGGACTGACTATAGCAATGGGAGATATGCCCATTGAGATCTGTGGAGGCTTCACACATTGTTGAATGGGGACCAGGTTGCATTACTGGGGCAGCAACACCCTCTGCCTGGCCCACTTCATAGACTTTCGTGAAAATTGGAATCCAGTCCACTTAGCTACAGACAGGCCAGGGAATAAGGAGAAGGGAAAGTGCCTATTGCTGTGGACAGAGTGAGCATGGAGTGCCCTGGAGGCTCAGTTCCATGCCCTTTCCCCTTAGAAGTTGGCAGCCTTTCACACATACCCTTAGGAACTATCACTGGAACTGTGGTCCCTGGTCTAAGGCATGTGATCCCATGGTGAGTCACATGGTGGTGGTGCACACACTCATGCGCCATCTTTTTTCTGTTTGATTTGGCCAACTCCTCACCCCTCATACCATCTCCAGTTGATTTGCTATAGGTGTTGGATGCAGTGTTTGCATTGAGCTTTTTCTCATGACTTAATTTTCTGTCTCTTCTCAAGATGTTTGTGCCAATCTGCCTAAAGATCAGCCTTTCAGGGTCTTTTAGGAAATGTGGTTATTCCCAGGAATGTTGAAATTTGCTCATACATCTCAAAATTGGCTTTAGTTGACTTCAGTTTAGAAAAGATTTAAAAAAAATGTACAAGTCTTGAAGATCCATAGTTGATGGAAGGGATCCTTCTGGTATAGTGAAAACTAGTTTTCTAGAGAGAGGAAAAAGAAAGATTTAAAGAGAATACAGTTCCTGTTCAGGTCAAGGAAATTCAAAGAAAGATTTAAAGAGAATACAGTTCCTGTCCTGGTCAAGGAAAATATTAACAAAGAATAAAAAATTCTAAAGTGAGGACAAAGATTTGTTTAGAAACAAAACTCACACTTTTAGCATGGAAACAAAAATGTCTGTAATGGTCAAAACTTCAAATAAAAAGAAACATGGAAAGAGAGGAGAGAAGAGGGAGGGGAAGAGAGAGAGAGAGAGAAGGTAACCAATTACTGAGAGAGTATTTCATATACTCATTATCTTCATAAATAACATAATTAATAAAACAGAGCAGGAAAGGATTTAGATTCCATTTTACAAGTGAGGAAATTGAGGCTCAGAAGCATTTTCTGCTTTCAATTTTAAACATCAAGAACTCAAAAAAATATGTACTTTGTGATATTCTTCAATAGTGAGTCTGAATCCCAGTGAACCCACAGGAATTGGGGCCAAACCCCAGTATGAATTAGTGAAGAGTCTGAATTACAGATTGTTTTCAATTATTTTCAAGACTGTCCCAGTTAACTGGAGTGCCCAGAGCACTTGGCACAATCATAAAGGGGAGATTTCAAGCTGAAGGGTGGGGATGTCAAGCCTCTAAAAGCCACACTCAAAAGCTGCTAAGCTGAAAACTTTTAACAGCAGGGAAAAAAGCATTAGAGGTCATTCTGGCAGACTTTACTCCTCATGAAATAAAAAAGGCAGTTTTCCACCATGGCTCACTACCACCAGGTCAAATAACTGACCTCCCACCTCAGTGAGACAAAATAGGGTAGAGCTGAGGTCCATAGGGTACCATTTTAATAAACCGATGATTTGTTTTAATTAACACATTAGTTCATTTTATAGGAAGTAGTATATGTGAGTGCATGAATTAGTTCCAAAATATTGCAAACAACCCACCTGCAACTGTTAGTAGACCAGAGGATTTCCAAGGAAAGTGAGATTTTAGCTCCACCCTGCCGAGACTGTGAACAAGTCCAAGTTCAAGGAGATGAACTGTTGAGCTTTACTGTATTAACTCAACTGATACGTTATTGTCTGTCTGATTGTATTCTACACTCAGATAAAACTGTAGACTCACTCCGCTGATAAAGATGACAAAGGTCACCTAGAAACAGACCTCCCCTACTAAGCCATTTTTTAAGCAGGGTCTAGTAAGTCAGAGAATTAGTAGGAATGTAATGAAGCCTTATTACATTAGTAGCACCATGCTATGGGTTCCGAAGGGAATTGGGAATATGGTTTTATTTATGGTGGTTTCAAATAAGGAACTTGAAGATTTTCTTCCATGCAGAAATGTTCATTAGGATATATTTCAAGCCACATTAGAAAAGACCACAACGAACAGACTGAATTCTTTGAAAACAGGAACTGAATTTTCTTTTTTTCATTCTCAAGGTTTCTTGACCTCAGTCCTATCGACATTTGGGGCTGGATGATTCTTTATTGTGGGGAACTGTCCTATGAATTGTAGGATGGTTAGTAGTGTCTGGGGGGCCTTCCCAGAAGATGACAAAACTATCTCCAGACCTTAAGTGTCCTCTGGGGGACAAAGTCCACCCTGATCCAGAACCACTGCTTCATCTTTAGGGCCTAACATATGACCCACAGCAGAGGCTCAAAAAGTTTTTGAGGAGGGGCTGGCAGGTGGCATGGTGGTTAAGGGCGCTGGACTCCCACATGGCCAACTGCAGTTCAAGTCTTAGACCTGACGACTTGGTTTCTCACTTTCTCTTTCTCTGTCTCTCTCCTCTGTCTCCTCTCACTCTGTCCCTCCCTGGTCAAATTTAAATAAATAAATATATATATATATATTAAATAAATAAATATAAATTAAATAAAATAATTCTAAAAAAGAAAAAAAATGCCCTTGAGGAATGAACGCAAACAAGAAATAATCAGGAAGAGGGCTCTGTAGCTGTGGTCTCTGACCCTCCGCTTATAGTTTCTAGTTCACTCCCATGAGGTTGATATGACCAGGAAACTATTTCTTGGTTCCACCATTCACCCATCCAAAAGACTGTCATTCATACAGCGTGAATGAAGCATCTCCCTTGTAAACAGAGTATAGCAGGACAACCCCACCTCGCCAAAAGGGGAGGCACTCCACCAGTCCTGGTGGGATGCCCCATCATTTTACCAACACCATCCTTCAGAAGTCACCCCACAACTGTTTGCTGGTCTTCTTTCCAGGGGAAGCTTGACCTGGGAATTTATAAACATTGCCAGGAAGTTGTTTGGCTTTATTTCCCCTTATTATTATTATTTTTACTTAAATCCTTTTTGCTGTGATGGAGCCCCATGTTTTGTTTATCTTTAGTGGAAGCAAGAGCCAAATTTTGTTTTAGTAGTTCCCAACTTAAGGACCAGATCTTTTTGCAGTCTTCTACCTTCAGACTTGAGTCCTGGCTCCTCTCACTTTCTCTGGATTCCTACCTTATAA